TTAAAGTAATATTGCAATAGCCGTTTCGTGGCGTACGCTATTTGGCCACACTAAAGTAGTGACTTTAACGCCGACTTCTACTTGGTGTCTGGGTTTAACATACCGGCTATTTTATTCCTAATATTGTACAGTTTGTATTACAACATTTTTTTTAAACAAACACACGTTACTTTTATGCAATCAAATACGGAGAAGTATCCAAAAATTGTATTCGTGTGTACTTGCGCGAAACAAATTGACGACAAGACCAAAACAAACGGCGTAATAGACGAACAGCAATATCGTTGGAGTACACCCGAAACGGTTATTATGCGTTTTGTTTCACTGAGTGCACATAATATTATTTTGATGGTAGTATAACAAAATATGAATAACAACCGAATTATAAAATGCAAAAAAAAAACTGTATTATATCATAATACTATGATATTTTCTGCTATTATATTATTATATCGGTTTTGAAATGTTGTTGGTACATCAGTACCGTAATACCTATACCGTACACTACATTATTGCATTATAATATTCTAATTGCGGAATACTTAATCTTCATATAATATAATACAGAATATGCACATCATTCTCTTGTAATTCACATCAGTTTATAGGAATAAGTTTATGCGTTAAGGGTATCATACTGGATTGATTTTTTATTAGTAATAATGTCTTCTAGGGGAAAATAAAGATTTACATATTTGGATAATTTCTATACGTGTCCACTATTATTAGCAAGAGTCTTTCGGCATTTTAAACATAGTCTCTAATACTTTTGAAATAAAGGATAATACTTTCATTTGTTTATTTTGAAAGATGTATTGTTTAAAGTTTAAACAACTAAACAAAAAATATGGCGACTTTAATATGGTGACTTATAATTATCTTTAACGTCATAATTATATTTGACTTAAAACCGCAGTGATAAGCTTATTGATCCTTATGATCACTACCAAATGACGTCACTAGCTATTATAGGCAGGTATGTCACGTTTTGTTTGTGTATATTTTATTGTAGTTAATTTAACGTATATTACATATCAATTTTAATCACTGCTTGCGAAAAAACAAAGGACATTTATGCGTTATAGCACACAAATTAATAAAATATATTTTGTTACATTGACAACTATTATTTTTCTCAACGCCACCGAGCTGTGTCGTCCACTTTACAATACACCAAGTTATAATATCCTGTGTCTGTCAACTGGCTTAAAAAATATATATACCGCCGTAGCCCGTATAGGTATTGGATAATTATCAAATTAATACTAAATCTTATTTAAATAATAAGTGAGCAGTACGAATTACTTGTATTACATTATAGTTATTGTTAGACATCACTTATAATTTATGCAAACAGCTTGTGCAAAAAAATTGTTGTCTAACAAAATTGGCGTGTTAACAGGTCGATATGATTACAACTACGAATTATTTACCTACAGCATTGAGTTGTTGCTAGTTATACTGGAAATTAAAGTTACGAGGAAGTATTATGCTGAGTATTGGTCAAAATAACGAATTTTAATTAAACACTCGAAGTAGTTGTACTTGTTTATATTTCTCGTTACAGACTGCAATACCATAGCCTAATTATTATTGATATTATACTAAAGTTGGGTAATCTAATGTCATATGTCAATTGTTAATTTAGCGTTCTATTTTTTTATTTCATAGTAGTTATATTTATTACTCTGAAATCAAGATTTACTGGTATATTCCCTACATATAATAGGGTATAGCCAATTTACAATTTTGTCTATGTATTTTTGTTTTATAGTATAATGACGTTAATAAATTTTTATTAAACGTGTATTCTATATTTGGCGGAGTTGATCAGTTTTTATTCGAATAATCTCTTTGCTCAAGATGATTTATACTTTAAGATGATTTATTCGAATAAGTTTTTTATTCGACAAAATTTATGATGATTTCTTCGAATAAAAAAAATTATTGTATGGTCATTCGAATAAATTATTAGAATAAAAAAAATATAGAAACTAGAAAATTGTTTCAATATTTAGATAACTGTATACTTAAACTTACTATTGTTTTACAACAAAACCACAACCAGTTAGGTTGAAAAGAATAATCGCAGAGTTTTGCTTATAAATAAAAGAAATTCGATTACAGTATTCGTCACAACCACACTAGGCGGGTTCAGCGTACTTTAACAGTATATACAGACCATCAATCGATTTCTCCGTTAAAAGCCGTAAATCTTATGCCACCGTTACTGCCCGTACTCGAAAACAAGTCAGCATAATAAGAAGTTAACATATTTTACCTTGGCGAGGCGGCCATTGGTTTAGATAGGGTACTTATCCAATTTGAGCACATTTACTTTTACAAGACCTATATTTTTTCGTGTGTATTACCAAACACCGGTCTAATCTTAAACTCTGACCTTTATTCACAATAAATAATATATTAAAATACCACAAACAATATTGCCGAGAACGCGAGCTGGAGCGCTTTAGAGAAGATATTCAATTTCAAAGTGTAGTTTAATAAAGACATGCCAGAAAATGGTCAATGAACTTTTCGACCGGGTCCAATCGTGTTGACTTCTATTGTGGCTTTCAGACTTTTGACCGTCCGAGTACTATAGTTTGTATGTGATTCAATAGAAACACAGGACGAAAAAAATAAAACTATCTAGCCATTAAACAATCATAAAGCGAGACCCTTCTCGACGATGCGTCTAAGCTAAAATAATATCGCCAAACCCATTGAAAAAACGAAATTTTAATTACGTTTACAAACAAAACTCTATTGAATATCCAAACACACTTTTATGTTTGAACACCATAAAATTCGTACAAACCAAGCCCGGGGCGCCGTCACTGCATAGCTCTGCGAAATGCCCGGGCACGCACCACGTGGGCGCCACGTCCATATGAGGTAATATTAAACAGTAAGTGGGCTTACACGACGAATACAATAAACACACACACATACACACATAGTATATATACATATATAAGACATGTGGTTCTTCTGCAAGTGGGTGGCTGACCTCAACACGTTCTTGAAATCAATGTTATGTCATACACACACACACACACAATATGTGTATATACTGTGTACTGACCGCCGCGGTGCCGCCGTCGATCTGTCAATATAAGGTTCGACGAACTTCTCCTGTGGCATGGTATAAACACCGCACAGAGTACTTGGGCTTATTACTTGTGACCGAAGACCGAAGGCAAGATATTCCACGAAAAGCGATAGGCAACATGGGTACAGGCATAGGAAAATTGGCTAAGCAAACATGGCGTAACCTTTTGTTTGAAAAAAAACACCGATTTACTGTTTAGTTTTTAATTTTTTAATTCGTTTAACATAAGGGTGAATTCTGAAAAAAATCACTGTACATTTTGAACATTTTAATTTTTCCTTGTTTCTCTAAGAAGGCGAATAGATAGATTGAATAAATAAATACAAATTTCAAGAGATTTTTAAGCCCATATGGTTTTGCAGTTTGAGGCACTGTAAAAGTGAAGCTTACCCGGTAAATTGGCTGTATGTAAACTGCGCCAAAAATGACCCTTTTTCTATAAGCTGATATGTAAACTGCGGCAAAAAAAATTTAAACATTATACAAACTGCGACAAAGATGATAAGGTACATTCTACAAACTGCGACAATTTATTTTATATACCTACTATATAGTATATAATATACTATAATACATACTGAATACCGATAAGAATGCTATTTTGTACCATATATTATTATAGATCTATGGTGTGCACATAGTCAATAGGAGTAAAGGTGTACAAATTAAAATAAAAAAACAATTTTAAAATACATATTAAATTGAAAAATATTATTATTTAACTAACATTAAATTGTACATCTAATAATAGTAATAAGTTTTATAGACTACTGTAATATAATACTGTCTAAGAAAATAAAAAAATTTAAATAATAATACATTTTTTTTTTTTTGTTGTTCGTTTATAAATTTGTATTTTTGAGTAGTAATTTTGTTTCGTTGTTGTATTATACCTTCTTCTGCACTCCTAACTTTTATGTATGTATCAACTTGAATATATTGTAGAACATGTATAAATGTATATAGCAACGGATGATAATGATGATAAAAATATGCATTAAATTTTGAAGGGAAAGATTCACTTACATTATTTGTTAAAACTTCTGATGATGATGCCCACAAAGAAGAAGGGAATATACCTTACATATAAGTTTCTGTTAAATAATCGCAAAATTGTACTACACGAGTATATGCTACCGTATCAGTATGTATTATTGTATATAGCTAATATAAGTATATTATATCCTATATAGTAGGCATATAAAATAAATTGTCGCAGTTTGTAGAATGCGCCTTATCATTTTTGTCGCAGTTTGTATAATGTTTAAATTTTTTTTGCCGCAGTTTACATATCAGCTTATAGAAAAAGTGTCATTTTTGGCGCAGTTTACCATTTCCCGGTAAATTATATAGGTATATTCCATAAAAAATGTGTTTCCAAAACATATAATTCTATTATTTACAGGTAAAATAAATATTTTACCACGTTTTTACCGTGTATTTTATGTTCGTCAATATCAAGGTGGCAATCAAATATGTAAGTATAAATCAGTGTATCAGCTGTTAGAGTGACGACCCCCGATACCTATTGCTACGGTACGGCGCCTACTATTGACTTAGTAGGTAGAAAGAAGTTACATTGTTTCTGTAATGCAAATGATTGTCTGCGCAGTGCGCGGTACTTAAGTGGGCGTATTGATGAGTTTTGTTCTGATTAATTAACCTTCTACATAACGAAATCTTCTTAGCATTTATGCTTGAAACGTTTTCGTGGTCATCATAGATGTTTATGTCGGTCATACATTTGTTTACATCATCTTTCATCTATCGTTTGGGTGTAGGTTTTGAATAAATTAATGAATTTAATTTTGAGTGATGACTTAGCGACTAAGTTATATTTCATTATGGAAGATAATTAGCTCAAATTTAAACTATCAACTTGATTTTTATTATACAAATATATAGGCAAAGGAACAAACATAAGTGAGCGTTAAAGTATTATTTATAACACATTTGTATAGTTTAACTGTGTCAATGGTAATTTTGCTCGTCTATAAGCAACTCTTAATCGCTATAAAATATTATATACTTAACCCTTTCGTTCCTGGGAATGTTTTCGTATGTTTTCTTTGGCTTATATGTACTTTTTGTTTGGATTTTTGGCTTAATTTTAACTTGGTTAAACATGTAAGTTATATTGCCTGCGATTAAACGAAACGGCGCTTTGTTATAAGCTGTTTATTTAATTCTAATTCTATTTAATAAAATATATTTCTGTTTTAGAGCTATATTATAAGTATAAAGTTAAGTGCATAATTTCATGTCAATTTTGGATTCTAATTTCGTTTGTACGTCGGCCTCCGGTCCCTCGGTCGAATTGTAACTGGATAACCGTTAACACTTCTTATCATCAGATCCAACCTTAGTTTGATGTCAGACATTTTCCATGTCGTGTGCACGCTGAAGTTTCGTAAAAAAGTGGCAATGAAAACATGCATGGAAAACAAAGCGTACTTAGTTCCTGAAATGGAGTACATATATTCTGTTTACATTTATATTACATCCAAGTAAATAAACAAGTAATATCGTACCAATGCAACGTCTCGGTCCGCCGCCAAATGCTAAATAACTGAATTTGTGCCGTTTAGCAACGTTCTCGGGGTCGAAATTATCCGGATTGAAGGACCACGAGTCCGGGTACAGTTCTGGTAAATGATGTGTGGCTAATGGAGATATTATCATAGTGCTTCCTTTTGGTAGGGTGCAATTGGCTGTAAATAGCATTGGAAAATTCTACAATTCTGCAAACCTTTTGGCTTTTACAAAAATTATTTGTCATTACTTATTTCAATGTCGTCTGTTAAATGTCTGAACAACAGAGGCGCCACGGGATACAACCGAAGTGTTTCGTTGATGCATTGCTCCAAGTACACTAATTTGCTGGTATCTTCAATAGCAATTGGTTGATCGCCGTCGCCCAGCACTTCGTAAATCTCGTCGTATACTTTATCCTATAGTTATTGAATATGAAATTCTAAATTATGTGCTCTTATATTACCATTACAACAACTATATTCACTTGGATATCCTGATGAATGGCTAACATTAAAAGACAAAAACAGTTTGTGATCGTGGTGGTTTCACTCCCCTACAATTGTAAACAACTTTTAATTATAAGACTTATGTATCGTTATTATTACTATTATTTATTAATAATTCACTATAAACCATACCCCGACCAACATAGTAACGACTTCGTCCCTAATTTCTTCATCGGTTAAGTTAGCACCTTCTTCGTTGAGTTCTATCAACTTGTCTAAAAACAATTGTAATCGTTTTTCTGAAAAACAAATATTGGAAGTAAATGTTTAAAATGTCTTTAGCCCTTTATTAAAAAAAATGATCCAATAAGCTAACTAATAATAATCAATTAATTATGCAAATTCCAAAATTGAAGCTAGTAACTTACTTTCATTGTCGGTTATGTCAACGACACTAGACTTGTTTTTCTTTTTTTCAGCAAATTCAATTTTTTTCTGTTTGATCAACTGTAGAAAAAACAATTTTATTTAAAACAGTATTTTTACTGTAGTGCTCTATTACATAGAAATTCTCTATTAGACAAATGTACGGTCAACATTGATAAAACATTTACACGATCGGTAAAGAAACATTTAAATTATCAATAAGCAGTAATAACGAACTTTATTCGGTAGTTTGTTCAATGTTTCATAAACTTTATCTATTCCTGTTAGTTTCCCGTAAATATTGAATATGAAATTCGGATACAGCCATGGCTTATAAATCCTCATTGAATTCAATTCAAAAGATCTAAAAGAAAACGTTACACAAATATTAAAAATAATTCTACGTTACTTCCATAAGTAAATAGGTCATATAACGTTTTTAAAGCAGCCACAAAGTCAACGCCACTTTTATCTTGGTTGTCGCCATCATATCCCATTGCGGTATCTGTAAAATACATTTATTATGAATACAATACAATTTAAATATTTAATATGTAAAATGGCAATAAGTAAGTGTAAATTGAGCTTACGACAAATTGTAGCAATGGTTGTAGATGCCACGTACTCCCACAAGTCAAACGGCTCGTCTTTGTCGAGTTCTCTCTGAAGATTTCTGATCAAAATCATATCTTTTTCGTTGAACACTGAGAAGAACTGACTAAGTAAAGTTATGTTGAATACAGGCCTGATTATCCGATGATTTTTCTTCCATTTTTCAACTACATAACAATGTATTTTTTTTAATTTATGCAATCTGTTACAATTAAGAACAATAAGCACAACAAATATTGTAATATTTATAAATAGTTATGAGTTAGTTAGTTAAAAAAAAATACATTATGGAACAACACCTAAGTAAATTAAAAATGTACTACTTGATTTAGTTTATACCTGGTGCACTGAACAAGCCTTCTCCAATAACTTGGCTGAATAGCTGATATAACGAATCTTTTGCTAAAGCTTTAGAGCCATTCAATACAATCTAGAAAAAGAAGTGTTTGTTATAAATTACGATGTTCGGTTTGAGCTGTTCGATGTTTCGGTTAAAAATTGTTTTTATCGTGGTTTCAAAAGTTAGTTTAAAAACGTAATTTATCGTAATTAAATTACTACCATCGCTTAGGTTACAGTTCAGAAGGCCGCTATATTTCTAGAGGCGCAGAACTGAGTAAATATTTTAGCCACTGAACATTGAGAAATGTTGCGTGCTTAAAAAACTAATAACTTCGGCCTTTCAAATAAAAATCACATCATTGAACCGTGACCTGATTTCCAAAATTATAATTGTACATCTTATTTACACATCCCGGCTTGTAACTAATAAATTAATTCGATATATCAAAATAAAAATACATTATTATTAATAATATTTAAATTTAAAAAAGGATACGATTCAGCCACTGGGCGTCCTGAAATGTTATTTTTATAATTATAAAACTGTATGGAATAAAAAAAAATAGTAAGAAAACTCATCGAAACTCTATTGTTAACTTAATAACTTAGTTTAACGAAGTAATTAATAAAAACTAATACACTATTGTATCGTCACAGGTGTAATAATCCCAGTACTATTGTTTGTTATTATTATTATTATCATGTAGATGTTGTAATAATTTTGTTATTGCTAAGTGTCTATAGTCTCGCGTATTGGCCAGTAGCCCAGTCATGCGTTATTAAAATTTGGTAATAATAAGATTAATCATTGTTTAGTTTAATATAAAAGGGCATTAGTTATTAAGGTATACGCCTCAGTACTTAATTAGCATACGCAGCTATCTAATTGATACTCTGTTTCAATGTAATTAGTCCTGTGTTTGAGTTATTAATTGTGTTTTAAAGTATTAATTAAACATTATTATCAACTTGGTTTTGTCTCTGTATAAAATACCTTTCAATTCTTCTAAGTCTACAAGTGTGCTGCTTAAATCTCTTGGTGCAGTACACAGGTTCCCTGATGATCTTAGTTTCTAAGTTACCACTAGGTATGAAGTGAAACTGTATAATATACAGGGTGATCCATCAGACACTAATTTTCTCAGAAATGTTGAATATTTTTAGAAAATGTTTTTAATTGTCCGTACATATTTAACTATATATTTCAATACGTTGTACATTTTTACCTCCATCCCTTATACGTCAAACAAGTATGGATCTCGTTTTTTTAAATGGAAACATATGTTTTTAATTCCATTTATCTGTAGTCAAGAAATTTTAAAAAATCGTTTCGATTTTAAGTTAAACATTGGGCCTACGCTAGTTTTTTTACCTCTAAGTCTTCAGGCTTCACTACGGTTACGGCAAATTTCATACCCAGCCATATCTTAAAGGGTTCCGGTCCGTACGTTTCGTACATTTTTATCAGCTTTTCCATGACCTCTACAAATAAGATCAATCAATACACACACACACACACACACACACACACACCACACACACACACACACACACACACACACACACACACACACACACACACACACACACACACACAAATTGATACTATTATTATTATGATAATATACTGGTGTACTTACGCTGCGGTGACCCTACAAACTCCAATCCCGAACCAATAAGCGGGTACGATGGAGGTCCTGACAATTTGGATGTCAGTTTGTCGAAGTGTCTTCGATGCCATAGCATACGATACCACAGAGCCACCAAGAAAACGATGATGGAGTAACAGATGACTTCATCTTTTGACATGCGAATCCCGGTAAGCGAGCCCAAAGCAGTCGCCGAAATATCTTGAAAAATCTCCATTCCGAAACAGTCAAACAACTACCCTACATTTAATTAGACGTTAAGCGTAAGATGTATAGGTTTTTTTAAATTTAGTAACAAATAATATGTTTTTTTTTTGTTTGAAAGCAAGAAATTCATAATTTTGGTGTTTTTTTCTTTATAAGTAATCTAAACTTACTATGCGAGAATCTACAAAACAGCGCCTCGATAATAGTTCTTGTCCTATACAGATGTGGTACTAATACTGCGGTATTTAATATGATGGTCCGTCACAAGTATACAAACCATCACTATTCAAAGTTCAATCGATATATCAGCTGTTTATTTTCTCATTGGTTCGTATATTTATATGATGTTCACTTAAACATTTTTATGTTTACTTTCACTATCAGTGGTAGTCCATAGATATTCACTCATGGGAGGTCACCTTCATTTCAGCACAATTTTGTACTGTTTACATTACCTTTTATAACTTGGTTGAACATGTAAGTTATATTGCCTGTGAGTAAACAAAACGGCGCTTTGTCAAGCTGTATATCTAATTTTAACACCATACAATAATTTATATTTTTATTTGTGTGTACAGCTCATATACTATTACTTAGATATTTTAGTTTCTATTACAGGCAAGGAGTATCATGGTGAAATCATTTTGAATACATATCCAGTTGTAATATTTTAATATTCAGATATTTGAAAATTAGATAAAAAATATTGTTAGTTACTAACAATAAGTTTAGCTTATAATGTTAAATTCCAAATTCTTTAGAGCTCTATTATAAAGTTAGGTGCATAATTCCATGTCGATTTTGGATTCTAATTTCGTTTGTACGTCGGCCTCCTGCCCCTCGGTCAAATTGTAACTGGAAAACCGTTTACACTTCTTAACACTATATCCAATCTCAGTTTGATGTCAGACATTTTCCATTCCGTGTACACGCTGAAGTTTCGTAGAAAAGTGGCAATGAAAACATGCATGGAAAACAAAGCGTACTTAGTTACTGAAATAGAATAGATAAGTTTAGTCTTACATTTATATTACTTCCTTGTACAGAAACAAGTAATATAGTACTAATGCAACTTCTCGGTCTAATTATCCCGGGTTGAAGGACCGCGAGTCCGGGTACAGTACTGGTAAATTATGTGGGGCTAATGGAGATATTATCATAGTACTTTCTTTTAGTAGGGTGCAATTGGCTGTAAGTATCATTGGAAAAATCTACAATGCTGCATACCTTTGGCTTTTACTAAAATTATTTGTCATTAATTCTTCACAAAAAATGTCAGCGACCCCTCTAAAATCATAGCCTTAAAGTAACGGATTATAATTTTTACCGAAAGTCTGAGGGACCTTTCGAGTATTTTAAGAAATCTGAACCTAAGTTTCACTCCAACTGCGCCAATGCCATCATATTATTATGGTCGTCATATCTGGCGTTGTGGTCACAGTCCACAACAAATGAACTCCAGAACTCTTTCAAGAAGTATCGTAATAGTTCCAATTGAATAATCCCGAACAACAACACTTAACCAGCATAAAATATTCTTAAAAATCTAGTTACAATAGAGTGCTTGAATATATTTTGGTCAGTTTTGACACGGTGCTATGGCTCGTGGTTTAAGCGAGTTGTAGTATTCGCGAGACGACCATGGACTTGACGTGGGTCAATCTAAACTTTTTGTACTACACTTCCAAACTGTTCGGACTGTTTCCGTTTCCGTTTTCCGAAATGCTTGTCGTTCGCTTATTCGACAGTCGTATGATCACTAACGATGTTGTCCATTTTCCAAAACACTTTATTAATATACAATTATAGCAACAATGTGTTAGGGTATCAAATATGGCTAAATGTTGATGGCATGAGGGTAGAAAATAAAATGTACTTACACTTTTGTCGTTTCTACTAACCATTTTTTTTTTTGTTACAGATATTGCTCATCACAGCGTTCGTTATGGATATTGCGGCCATGTTAACCGTTGTAATATCGGCGCAAAAAAGCTTCAGTTTTTTCGCACTGCTGGACAAGTTCAATAGATTCGACCAGTTCTTCTTGCAAATGCATTGGAAGCAAAACGGACGCGTACAAATGTATTACTTGTTGTACATTGGTTTTACTATCTTTTACCACCATCTATCCGTGTTCGGCACCAAGCAAGAACAAATCAAACATGTTTTTTGGCTTATAACGAGCTGTCTAAGTATGTTGGCGTCCGTGCAATACATAATATTCTTGAGGATGTTAAGAGAAAGATACGAAATTACCAACGTCTTATTTAAAAATTGTAAGTCAATCTTTTGGCACGCAGTGTTAACATGAAGCGATAACAATCAGAAGGATACGAGTGATTTTTATTAATTTTTTTTTTAATATCTCCATAATAAATTGAAGAGAAGATTTATAACAAGTCCAGGTAAAAAAATGTAACATTGGCAAATAATGGTTGACAAAAACATTACTCTTCTGTTTGAAGAAACCCAAGCGTTATGTAGTTTGCACAGAGCCTCGCCAATCATAGAGCTGGCACTAGATAAAGTGAAAGAGAATATTTGTTCTTAATTTCATTTGAAAATAGTAGGTATTTTTTGCGTATATTTATCATCTCAATATATCTCAATAAGTAGTGTAACATCATTTTAGCTATTACCTATATTCCTTCGAAACAATTTTGTCTCCTTTAGAACTTGGCGAGCGTTTAACACACTAATGTGTTGAGCTGATTTACCTAAATACTAATAAAACTCAATTTTTGTGTATAGGTATGGATGAAACCAACACTAATACCAAATGCATGATTCCAAGAGTAATAAACCGGTTATTTAGAGAACTCTAGTGCTTGACCAATGAAGTTAAGACGTATTTCGCAGCCAATGTCTTAGTGTTTGTGGTCGAAACTGCTGCAATACTCGTAGCTAGTGTAACGTTTGTATCATTTAATCTCATCTACACATCGAGCCGGCTAACCGATTCACAGGGGTTCCTTGTAAGCGCTTCTCGCGTAATAATGTTTTTCCTTTTTGTTCAAGAGGCGAACAGTACAATAAAACCGGCAAGTGAATCGTAAAAAAAGGCCGGTTGGTATGTAGCATATTGGGGCATGGCAGGTCACAGTAATTTATCGGCATTTTTTTAAGAACATTATCAAGAGGCATTAAATAACAATTTATCGATTATTAAGTATATTTACATGGCTAAGATGTTACATAAAAAATACAACACCGATTAAAATAACATAATACTTCACCTGACATTTTTACAGACCAAACAAACAGTACTCATTGCACACGAAGCGCTCTTAAGAACTAACAATGCGATTATTTCTAGAGAAGTATAATATACAAAAATGTCGCATATTCAAAGTGGAATTTTTAGAATATTTGTATTTGTTTAGTTGGATACGTTAATAATAAAATGTTCGAATTATCCTATTGTATTTTATGTGCATAATTAGTTTGACTTGGACTATCAACTTGTTCATTCAGTAAGAGTAGTTTTAAATTCCTAACTATGTTGTTGTATTTAACGAAGCATTATTCGTTAAGGAATGTAATATTAACTCAATAATTTTCATTTGTATTTCGTTTTATTATAAAACTTAAAAACAATAAATATATTTGGGCATTACCCAAAAAAACTGTATTAGTGTTTTTTATTCGAAATTTGGATGGAAAAAGGTGATTTATAGGTTAAAAAAAGAAATCATCCATCTAGACGTGGTAAAGCTAACTTTGATTAACAAATTATTTCAAATGTTACATTTTAGTATTTAAACTTTTCAAAAAAAAAAAAATTGTTAAAATTGTTTTTTGTACTAATTTTAATAAACAATACATTTCAATATTTCAAATGTTCGCAGCAACTGTTACTTACATAGTTATGTTCGTACAAATTCAACTAGCATTTATCGAACATAGAACCTAAGCAAACCATACCATTTTATTTTATTAAAATACAAATGTAATAGAATAATAAATCTTGTAATTAGCTAGTTTTAAGTATTTTTTGGTTGTTTTTTTTTATTGTTAAATACTTAATAAATAATATGTATTTTTTAATAAATAAGTGGGAACAATTTAATTTAATAATTTTGTGTCTTTGCATTCAACCGAAATAAAAATTGAAGCTCGAACACACACTTTTAAAAATATCTTGTCAAGAAACAATTAAAAAATAATTAATTTATTAAAAATTAAATTTGTTTTTTAACATATACCGATTATCTATCTTTATGAGTAAAAGTACAAACGAAAAAAAAATTTCTATACAGCTATCAGGATTATTTATTCTTACTTACTATTTAAATTTATACATACACAACAACTTCTCGCACAGAACAAATTAAGTCTATAGAAAACAAAATATACGTATCGTAACATACATGATTTTAAGAAAAACCCCACTCTAATTATTGGAGGTGATTTTTTTTTTTTTGTAAAAGGATCTTTACAATCAATCCTATCTATATTTATCGGCGATTGTAGGTCAAACGGAGTTGACCAAATGCCGATTATCAACAATGATATTGTAGTAACAGTTTGATTACTTAGTTTTCGAATTGCCGGACATATTTATCGAAACACACTAACATTTTTTTAATAACGCGCAAATTTTTACATAATATCAAGAGAGACAACAATATTGTGTTCTTGGACTGGAGTCTACTTCCGTTTGTAAGTGGGCCTCCTGTCCCTCGGCCGGATAGTCACGGGATAACCGTGCACGCTTCTCATCAACAGATCCAGTTTGAGTTTGATGTCGGACATTTTGCAATCCGTGTGCACGCTGTAGTGTCGCAAGAACGTGGAAATCAAAACTTTCATCGACAGCATAGCGTACTTAGACCCTAAACCGAAATACAAGTAAAACATGACCGCTTTCGATGATTTCAAATATAAACGTACCGATACACCCTCTGGGTCCACCGCTGAACGCTATGAAACTATACTTGTGCCGTTTGGCCACGTTGTCGGGTTCGAAATTATCCGGATTGTAAGACCATGGATTCGGATACAGCTCTGGTAAATGATGAGTGGCAATCGGAGGTATAACCATGGTCGTTCCTTTGGGGATCGTGCAGTTGGCTGTGAATATTAAAAAAAAAAAACCCCAAAATACATAAATATGGTGTTCAACGTTTAAATGACGATATTTTTTTTTTTCAAATATTCGGCCCATTACTTATTTTGACGTCTTCTTGTAGTTGCCTGAGTATGATCGGTCCGACAGGATACAGCCGGAGTGTTTCCCTGATGCACTGTTCCAAGTACACAAGTTTACTAGTGTCTTCGATGGTAATTATTTGGTCGCTGTCGCCCATCACTTGATAAATCTCGTCGTAAACCTTGTCCTATGGTTGGAGAAAAATATACATTTAAAAATACATGTTAAAACAAAAATTTTAATCGCCATAACGGATTTTGCGTTTTTACTTGGACGTCCTGGTGGATAGCCAACATCAAAAGACAGAAGCAGTTCGTGATAGCGCTGGTTTCGCTGCCCTGTAATTACACGAAAACAACGGTTATAACACTTAAGTATCAACTATAGTATCCATTGTATGAAACAATTTAAAACACAATTTACTCACTCCGATCATCATGGTTACGACTTCGTCTCTTATCTCATCGTTAGAGAAATTAGCGCCGGCTTCGTTGAGTTCCAATAAAGTATCCAAAAATACCTTCAGTCTTTTTTCTAAAGACAAACCATTTTTTTTTTTTTGGAACAAACATTTCAAATAAATTTAAAAAGCTCCAACTTACTTTCATCGTCTGTCACATCAATAGCGCTGGCCTTTTTTTTCTTCTCGGCGAATTCGATTTTTTTGTCTTTGATCAACTAAAAACCAAATAAAATAATATAACATGGATATATTATTGGGCTGGATACAAGAAATGTCATGCCGCCATAATATTCAAAAGTATTTTTAAAATATTAAGAGATAAGAGATAACAAATCCACGATTCAATAATTTACAGTAATTTAATTAATTTTATATTGTCATTTTCCCTCTGGACAAGTCAAAGATAAACTTAGAGCTGAACAATTTTTTTGTAAGGCCATAAAAAAAACGTTGTAGTTATCAACAAGTGCTCACTTGATTCGGTAGTTTGTGCAACGTTTTGTAAACATCATGCAATCCCGTCAGTTTTCCGTAAATATTGAATATGAAATCGGGATACAACCACGGTTTATAAATTCTCATGGAATCCAATTCGGAAGCTCTAAAAAATAAAATCGAATCAATATAAATGTTTACTGTTTAACGAAAATTATTAAATATTAAGCGGTTTGTTATTTTACTTTGTTAAGGCTTCTGCGAATTCAGATTCGCTGTTATGTTGTGTGTCCAAGTTGTAACCCATTGCCGTCTCTATAAAAAAAACGTTACAAATTATGTTGCATAAAATTGTGAATTAAAAGTTTTTTTTCAGTGTGTTTAATGTATGTATTTTCTGTATATTATGAACTCACGGCAAATGATGTCAAGAGCGGTAGGCGCAATATAATCCCATAAATCAAATGGCTCGTTTTTGCCAAGTTCTTTTTTAAGATTTCTCACGAAAATTGTGTTTTTCTCGTTGAACACTGGGAAAAACTGACTAAGTAAATTGGCGTTGAACACCGGCGTGATGATCCTGCGATGTTTCCTCCATTTATCGACTAAAGCAATATTGATTACATTAACTACTAATTTATTGCCTATCAACTTGTATAATTGAATGACTTTACATTATCCCAATATTATCGCAAAATTATTTTTTTACCTCCCAAAACTACTGTACTAATAATTATTAACCCATATAACAATTTTTTTCGTTAAAAATTATACCCCAAAAGCCAATAGAAATTATTCTACTAATAAGTCGAAGTCTTCGAATTTCTCCTTCTTAAATTTCCGGAATCAGGGTTAAACTAACGAAATTGACACAATACTAGTACACTATTAAACTAATTTAAACCTAGCGTTTATCGCTGTATGTTATAGATTCCAGTAGGTTTTAAAAACAAGAAAAACAATTTTTGTAGTTAATGGCAATAACAAAAATAAAAATTATTTAACGAGTTTATAATATTATATGGCCCTTGAAGTTTCGACCAATACACACATAAATTGTTAATTAATTTATAAATGCATAACGAGTGTTACTCTAATAAATAGCTATTCTAAAAGGTGTCTTTTTTCTGTAACTAGATATTTTTTTAATATTGACCTTCTACGAGTTGACATTAATAAGTTACTTCCCTAAAAATTGCTTCGTTATACTGTACCGGCCATATGCTCCGGTACAGCACCCCCGTACATTTGTGTTCATGATTTGCACCTCATTTGTGTAAAAAACAACAATAACATTATAATAAATCTATAAATATAAACATATGAAATACATGAATAATAATTATAATACACACTTGGCGCAGAGAACAAGCCTTCCCCGACAGTGTTGATAAAAAACTTGTAGAACGGGTCTTTTTCGAGAGCCTTGGAGCTGTTCAATATAATCTGAAAGAAAATCCTGTTTTAGCGTTGTTAATCGCGATCAAACTTTAACAGTGTACTTTGTAAATTTTTCGTTGCAATATTCACATCCTGTTTTTTTTGTGTAAAATTACTCATTTAAACGGTATGCGAGATTATCTAATCACTTTAAATTTGTAAATCGCATGGTTTACATAATATATCATATACAATTCTCTTGTAATTGTACGGCATTGTTGAATTAAAAAAATAGCGTGTTACATATTATTAAGCCAATATTAATTACACATTAAGGAAATTATTATTATTATTGTTATTATATACCTGTACGTCTTCGGGCTTTGCTACGGTCACGGCAAAGTTCATGCCCAACCACAGTCCAAAAGGTTCCGGACCGTACTTTTCATACAATTGAATAATCCTTTCCATGATTTCTACAAAACAGAAACACAACAACGCGTCGCATTTGTAGCACATCGCTCGTGTTATTTCTTATATCGGATTATAAGTAAGTAAACTTACGTTGCGGTGTCCCCGCAAACTCCAAGCCACAACCGATGATCGGATAGGCCGGAGGACCTCCTAATTTGGCGGACAACTTTTCGAAATGTCTTCGGTTCCATTTTATATGACACCATAAGACCACCAGGAAAGCGATAACGACGTAGCCGATGATCTCGGCCTTGGACATGCGAAACCCAGAAGGCGAGCCTAAAGCAGCTGCCGAAATATCTTGAGACGTCTCCATGCTGAAAGAAAAATGTGTAATATTCTACCAATAAAATTATTATTATAATCAAGACGGTGGCGTTAACATCCGTTTTTGTTTAACTGATTTTTTCATACAAACGGGTTATTGTAACTATTTCAAACGACAAACAAGCGGTCGTCGTTAAATTGTTTGTGTTCAGAGCAAATATCATACTGCGTCAATAGCGGTTTGCCTCGATCGTTTTAATTTTGTAAAAATGTTCGTTTTAGAAGTTTTGCTTGAGCAAATCAAAAATTTAAAACAAAACCAAATATACCCAGTACATAATTGTAATTGCGCGATCGGTATAACACATAATAGAGACCAGAGACGACATAAGAAGTTTATTAACCTAGGAATTGGTTAAACGTTTATATTGTGCAATAGCCATTGACCTTGATTCCTATTCCTATACCCGTGTAGACCACATCGTCGGCTGACCTTGATCGTACCAGAAAAACTAGTCCAACCCGTATTATCAGGGAACTTTTGATACTGTTCTAGTAGTAATATAGGATTTTTATAACGATGTTATTTCATACGAGTTTCATGTCTTTATGTCGTCACTTGAAGATATTATACTTTTTACCGCGTTCAGAGTTGTAACAATATAATGTTATGCGTTCCACAGCAAACCGTCCGACGCCCGCGCAAGGTAGACAGGATACAAGAATCGTACCTTTACCAATGGTATCTACTTTTGTTAGGTTGATTTACCTACACTAACACTTGCGTCGCATTAAAGTTTTCCGGAAGTCGTACTTGCTGTGAAAACAACACACACAACATCCGTGTAATTGACGAGTTGCATAAAGATTTGCATGGAAAAATAACCATCAATTAGGAAAAAAAAAGTTCAACAATAAAAACCAGAATAAACTATGCATAATCAAAAAAAAAATAGTATAGAAAAAACTAGCTCTATCTGTAACAGTTAATAGTACAAACAAATTTAACAAAGTAAAAAAAACTGAAAAAAGATAAGTCAATTAAAAATTCAAGTTATTCTCGTTCGCATCTTATTAGATTTGCTTTAACGATGTTGCTCTAAAAGGAATGGTTTATTTTTAAGATTTAATTTAAATTAATTCCAGCGTAACCAGTAACCGTGTCATTTAACTATATTTATTTTTGTGCTGCTTGAAATATTTGTAATCGTTAAATATTAATGAAGGCTATTAAAAAATATATATTGATTTTCACATTTTTTTTTTATTGCGAACTAATAATTTATATGTATATATTATTAGTTATATAAATACATTTTTTTTAGCTTCGATACGACGTTGAGAAGGTATTATATCTATTTTTTATTTCCATGGGCCAGTAAGAAAATTTAGGAATGTGTTAGCTATGGAAAGCTTAACCCTTTTTGTCCCAAATTAAATTTAGAGAATATTTTGTTTTCTAATACTTACCATAATACAACATGCAGTACTAAATTTATAACTTCCTTGATATTTTTATCGTATACCTAATACACATGTTTTTCTTATTTAAGATAAATCGTTATCACATGTGTAAGTATTGTCACAAAAATAATATTAAAAAAAAATTTTAAGTAGTACGCATTGTAATGTTCTGGGGACTGAAGAGGTTGAGGGATGAAAATTGAAATAAAATAGCTGGCTATAGCCATACCAAAAAGTCAGTTACCACGGCCATAAAAACGAATAGTCCTTATTACATTAAGATTGTGAACATTTTTTTTTCCACAATTAATGGGAAACGATTGACCTTTATATATTCTTGTTTACAAATATGGTAATGATTATACGCGACATATCTTATAATAAATTATAAATTATCTCCCATAAAGTTTCGAGTTCAATAATTGCATGCCAACTCAGTATATTTTGTTTATCAATAACAAATTTAGTTTTTCAGATTGCTTGTTTATTTCATACAAGTAACAAAAAAAACACAATATCCTGTTACACCTCTTCAATTCACAGCGGATTGTAAAAATTATACACAACAATAATAATACTAATTCAGTGATATAAAATATATTTTACAATTCTCACTGCTGTTTAGTATTCAATGCCAGTGTTAGTAGATTAATATTCTACTCATAAAGTGGCATTATGGTTCCAAAACGAAAGTTCTAAATTATTATCACGTTACAATATTTTCTCTATTATATTTAAAATTATTTATGCGATTACGTAATAACTAATATATTGTTATATTATATTTATAGAAATAGTTAATTTAGTCTTAAGCCCTTAAAATTATTAAAAAAATACAATGTAAGATACACTGTAAATTGTGTATTCATATATTTGCTTAAGTTATAAATTCAATGAAAAAAGCTCCGAGGTGCAAAACTTGCATAAAAATGTTGTAACTTGTTGCAAAATATCAATTTTGGAACATACCGAACACAATTAAAACATTTTAATAATGGATTTACTCATCACATTTCCTATTCACAAATGTCAAGAGGAAAACTATACATTGAATAATGTAAACAACGTTTTTTTGGAAATCGCCGACGTTTAATACACTAATTCGGTTAAACACTATTTCTAAAAAACAAAAATGTTATTTCAATAAACTAACAAGTGATCGTAATGAGTTTCTTTTTTAGTTTTTTGTTAATGAAGCATTAACTATTACCTATAGTTATATTTTTTAATTTAAATTCAAATGACGTTAAGCGATATCAAACTTCACGGATGTTTCTCTATAAAGATGACAATTATTTTACTAACCGTTAAAATCCAAATAATATCACATAGTGTGTGATAATTTCGATAAACTAATATGTCTAAGATACTCACTTTAAAGATTAATCCCAGCGGCGCTGCTAGGAAACTGTCTCTTCCAAGTTCCGTCAACAACTATGCTATGCGGCAGAATACTGCTGCGTAAGTCCCTAAAATCAAAACTAGAAGGTCGGTTCGCACATCAATGCAACCTGTTCTTACACCCCACTACCGGTGCGAAATTTACAAGGGTTAAGTTCATCCGACATGACTGAAATCACGTAGATATATCCCATCAAAGTAGGTAGGTTTTTTTCAGACCGGTCGGTTGACCACGATTTTGTTTCCTTGAAAATAAGTATTAAAATTTACTGCCATCTGGCTCTATTGTTACATATCATACTGCCCAAACCACTTTTATTAATTACTCGGATATAAAGTATCCAAACTACAAACTGTAACACAAACTAGCGCAGGTTTCTGTTCAATTTTTATCATTTTATTACTCATTTTGAATTTAGCAATTTTTAAATTACTATGTAATTTACTTTTCTACGATTCGTAAATGTCTATACAGGGAATACTTAAAAGTGTTAAAAGCGTCAAGGTCTGTCAAAAATAATTTGATGGCATATTTTATTTATGCATATTTTGGTATTTTATGGTTGTATTGTTTTAAACAATATCTATCCAAAGCTGAGCATTGACTAGTTTAAAAATAACTGTTTAATGTTAATTTTTTCTGTTTTTAATTATACTAATACAAATTTATTTAATCAGCAATACTAAATGTGTAAATTACAGGTATATTAACTTAATTGGACTTTTTAATCTCAGATTTTAAATCGACAAATGACTTTTAAGACTAATCCGATCGTCGGAAAGACATTTGATATATTTTTTTCATTGACCATTGTATTTAAAGGTGATCCTGAATAGATGAATAGACGTGCTTGGAAAATAGGGTGGTAAATAAGAAAAATCGCCTACTGTAAGTTCGCTACGGGAAAAAAAATTCCAAATGCATCTCAACCAACAAAGGTTAATAGTTTCAAAATATTGATTTGAAATTTCGTTAACACACATGAGATATGGGAAAAAAATAGATGTGTTAAACTGCTGCCATGTTGGAGTGGCGGTTCTTTGTCACTAGATGGTTTCCTGTCTGACCGAGATCATTGTTATTAATATTATTATTATTATTATTAGTATTTATTTCAATACTACGAATTGTATGATCCATGTTTTTACATAATATAACTAGATACGTCACAAACGAGTTTAGGTTACTTAGGTTAGAGAATGAATTATTCATACTGTATAAAACTACGACCTAGGTATGTCAAATTGTAATAGGAAAATGTAATTGTAATTAGGACACCATTGCAGGCATCAATATTCAACACTACTAATTTGATGTTAAGCTAAAAAAATCATTATATAAAAATAAAACAAAAATGTGAAGACCAACTTCTTGTTTTTGTATTGAAAAAAATAAAACCAATACCCAGATTATAAACTTAAATTATATTGTTTTTACAATAATTTGTATTGACGTTTAATGTAAATTCGTAGGACGAATTAGGGGGGGGGGGAGCTTGGGGCTAAGCCCTCTACCCCCAAACAATTTTATTAGCCTCCTAAAAATTATTTATGTATTTCGATTTCAGATATTTGAAGACTGATTGCTATTTTTATAAAAACGTTTTGTGGTCATTTATTTTATGAAAGGACATCGTTAAAAACGGACAATATAGATATAACCACTCACCATATACCATAATAATAAAAATGACCGAATACTACAATCCACGGACTACAAAAAAATACTTTATCACTTACCTAAGCTTAGTATCCAAAAGAAAAAGAAGTGAGCCAAATAAGCTCCAAGACTTTGCATTATCAACTTCTTCTAGTGCAGAATGTGAACCTAACCTATAGTATCAGGCTTAATTGAATTTCATTTCAGAGTAAACGTTTATTTTAAAGTTTTGAACGCTGTAATTATAAATATAGTCAAACGATTTTCTCCAGATAGCGTAAAAAATGGCTGTAACAGTTCACAATATTTTCTGATTCAATTTTGAAGATAGTAAATTCTTTGTTGAACACTGCCAGGTACCTACTTGTAATATTTTTTAAATGTTTTTAATGATGTTCATTTTTTTCTTTACTTTTTTTTCAGAATTTGTTAAATTTATCTACACATAATCTAAAATCTGAAATGTCAAGTGCAAAAAACTGTATTGTCAGTACTTGCGGTAAAAACGACTTCAAATATGTATCTAAAATTATACCTCTAAATTGATATCAACTATTACAAGTGGCGATAACATTACCACTTGTGAGCGTAGCTTCTCTACAATCTGATGTACCAATAAATACATGGCTCAAAATCGTTTTACTACTCTATCGATCTTAAATATTGACAACCCAGAAATGATTGATAAATTCGCTGAAAGAAACAGAACAATAGTATTAAGATAAACGCAATTTAATTTAATTAAAATATTGTTCTAAGCTACCGATATAATTTAACTAAATTTAATTATTATATTTGTAATGTAATTTGTAATTATAATACAAATAACGTGTTATTTGAGCTGTAGACAGTTTTTTTAGTCGTTTGCAGGAAAGGGGCGATGCCCCCGCGGATCACATTGATGTTAAAAATTTAGCCTTTAAAATTTTAATGGATTTCCGCCTATGATGTATTTATACAAACTACAAGTGATTAGTTTTAATTTTTATCTGAAAACACGTTGACTTTTAATCCTGTTGACTGAATTATTCATGTAGCATCTTTATAGATCCTAAATCGTATGCGGTTAATACTTTGATGTAATAATTCAATTTAAAAAAATAATATTTTATGTATATTTAATTTTATAGTTCATCTTTGTACTAGTTATTAAATAAATGAATGGTGTACACGAATATTTTATTTGTGTACTGACATTTAACATCTCAAACCTTATAATACTTGTTATCTATTCGTTTGATTTTTAATATATATATATTAACAATGTGTTTTACTTTCGTTATGGATTTTTTTGGCTAAATTAATATGTTGTAATATTTATGGCTTATTATATATAGGTATTACGGTTTATTTTTCTATTGACTAAAAATAATTTATATTGTATCCGCGGTAATAACAATTTTTGTTCCCCCAGCCCGAAAATAAATTATTAGGTTAGGTGGGACGACCTTCCGGGAGTATCCACTCCTACCAAAACATACCGGTATTTCGTACCTCAGATGGTAAGCCGACTTGTCAAAATTTTTAAAATTTTGAGCAACACGGAAAAAAACAACTTTATAGATTATAAACTCAAATTTAATGATTTTCTGAACGCGAAAAAATATCAATAATTTTTTCAGAGAGCTGGGATTATTTTACATGAGAAACTGGTTTTTAATATACATTTTTGATGGTCAATGATACTATAAAAAAACGACAATGAAGAGTTGTCAAGACAAAAACTCAAAATCATATTTACAGGCATGGTCAAAGTAATCGTAAAAAAAATCCAAAACAAATTTAGAACATTCTTTTCGTCGTAACAGACATGCAGTTAATTTACAAAAAAAAATCGAGGGGGGGGGGTCGCTCCAAACGTTTGTTTGTATTACTGTGAACAAGATTTATGAAATTGATGTTAAATGAGTGTCTTGGATCAGAGCGACACAAACGCTATTTTTTGTATATATTTTTCTCCTTCTCGCAACTATCTAGTTTCTCTGAAAAGCTGTTATATTCCTTGTACTTTTACGGAGTTCTATTTATTTATTTCAGATATTTATAATTTGTTTAGCTTCGACGCGTAGCTAAAAAAGTATTGTTTTTAAGTGTTTTATTATTTAGTTTTTTTTTGTGTCTGGGTCCCACGATATCTTCTAAACAACTGAACCAATTTCAACAACTCTGTAGATCACAAATCGTATCTGAAGTGCTTATTTAGGCCAAACATTTTAAAAGTTCATCCCCTTCAAAATCGAGAAAAACACTTAAACAATTTAAATATTTTTCAATTTTAAATTACGGTGCTTTATAACTTTTTAAAAAAAATATTAGAATATCAAAAACCATTTCTCATAGAAGGGGTGGGGACCCTTATTATTTATATCACTTTTTTAGGTGAATCATTGGGTGTTTAGGTATGAAAAAAAATTAAAATATGTAAGTCTAACTAAAATATAATTCAATAAATTAAATCTTCAATTATAAAAATTGTATCAAACTTTTAAAAACTGTTTGCAGGACGTTTTACTAAGTAACAGTTGTTGTTATTCAGCATTGTACAACGACAGCTACCATACGGGAAATACCAGTTAAAATAACTACTAAACGTTATGGAGCACAGAAAGTTTCAGAGGCTGTAGTTTTATTTCAGAACGTTTTAAGTGCACAATATCTTTGTCGACCAATTATGATTTTATAATTTTCTCATTGAAAAGAGCACATTTTTTTTTCATTCGATTTGTTCTTACTTTTATGGTTTTTCTTTTCGCTAGTTACGTTTATTTTGTCTTGTTTTCAATATCAAGAAATAGATATTAAACGACCATATAAATGTTTTAAATAAGTTAACTGTTGTATTGTGAATTTTAATTAAATAAAATTACAATGGACTTATAAGTTTGTTGTTATTGTAATATTCAGATTTTTCTTATCCTTAATAATATACTCTACGGTGTTTTTCTGCGACAGCCAACAAAATATTATTCAATTTCAAGGTATAATATAATTAAAAACTACAATTGACCTCTTAAACCAGTCATTTTTTACATTATAATAACCTATAAAACATATTATTAAAACTTCTATGACAACAGGTTTTAAACAACATGTATATGACTCACTGTGAGTATTGTTAATTTTAATTAAATTATTATTAGTTAACCCTACTCGCCCTATTAGAAAATGTTTTTCAAACCAAACTTATTGATGACACACAAAAGTAGTTTATTTAAGGATATATTTTTAGCAATTATTAATTGGCAATTGCTTTAACTTTTTAAAGCCTCGTGTAAAATTACAACCATATAAGTTGACGTGTTACGATGTGGAGCTGCTTGAATAAATTAAAATGTAATTTTTTTATTTGATTTTTAAGCTTTATCATATGTATTTAGAAGAGAGGGTATACCGCTGAGACTAACCTTACCGAGATCTGCTCACCTCCCCTCCCCCCCCCCCGCATAAGCCCCGACCATACTGTGCTGATTTTTTTGCCCGACAGAGTTTCTAATTTGTTTTCATAAAATAAATAACAGAAAAAGTAAGGATGGTGATATTATTACAAAATAATACTTTCAACATGGCCAATGAAGATAGGCTCATCGATCTGACTGTCTCATTGTAACTGTCTATAATAAAATAGAGATTTTTAAATTCAGTTAAAAAAAATAACTTTTAAAACATTATAATATGTATTCAACTTTGTTGAAAAAACAAAGGCAATCGAGTAGTTTATTACAAACTATGATACAGTTTTTAGTTGAAGCTTAGTTTAAACAAGTAATTTGTAGAGTGGTTTATTGGAATATTTTTCAATACACCTTTGCAAATTGTTTAAGTGTGTTAAATCAAATATAATATTAGGAAAGAGACTTTCCTATTACTTTTAATATAATATACTTAATTTATAAGCCATCACATGATTAGTGTGACCAGACGTCCCGATTTTGGCGGGACAGTACCGATATTCAAGCAGGTGTCCCGCTAAATATGGTGATCAAATCGGGACAGTAAAATGTACCGACTTTTAATCGACGTCCCGCTTTTGTCCCGATTTCAAACAATAGTTATTTTTTTCTTATTTTCACTTATGGTGTGTATATTTTGTGTTCCATCAGATCACATCAGTTTATTTTGTACAGTTTCTATAATCTATATCACTGTGATATCACTTATTATCATAGAGACCTAGACATTGGTTTTTATCACGTTATGATCTAGACTCTCAATCGGCTATAGGTAACCACGGTTTTAGAAATGAAACCCAAGTGGTTACAACTGATAAAAAATCTCCTTTATTGTTCAAATCTATTGCATCAAATGATAAATACTAAGTATTAATAATTTTTTTAAATGTATTAAATATTTTATAAATTTGTATTAAGTATATTTAAATTTGGTTTTTATCCTACTTTGATTATAATTATAAGTTTACTTGTTATAATATTTAATACTTGTTTTTTAAAGTTACATTTTGTTTTTATAATTTTTTTGTTAAGTATATAATATACTTAATTTTATTAAGGTATTAATAAAATAAATATTTTATGTTCAATGAAAAATTGATTTAAATTTTGATTTTTATCCTATTTTGGTTATGATTTTTTTTTGCAATGTCTAGTTTTAGCATGAAGAAATAAAGGTGTACCCAAAACCAATTATTAAGGGAGATTAAATCCTCCTACAAGTACTATTTTATGAGGAGGGATACCCCACTTCTTCTAGTTCTTTTTGAATACTTGTCCCGCTTTTATACAATTTTGATCTGGTCACTTTACACATGATACCAAAAAAACTTCAACTTGGTGCTGAAACATCATAATTCATAACATAAACAATATGTTTTATCTCCTTTAAATTATTATTAATATTCTTTGATAAGAGCAGCTATGTACCTTTATTGCATATCTAAAGCGCCGTATTTTTTTTAACTCGTGTAATCTTAATAGGACGCCACACAGGCCATTTATAAGGAGTGAAGTATAGGCAATTCAATGAAACCCTACACATAACGACTTGGATACTGAAATGGTTAAATACCATAATTGAATACATGAATGAAGTCTTATTTTAGAAGATTTTAATAATAATTAATAAATTAATGTTTATCTTTCAAATTGTTTTTTTGGAAAGAGGAATACAATATGGTAAATACTTTTACTTATAAATCATCATATGATATCAAATAGATTTCAAATTTCGCATTAGAAATTTTCATTTTCATGAAAAAAGAATTAATTATTCTACTTTTATCCATGCTCTACTCTTAAGTGATTTCGCTTTCCCACAAATGGATGGATAATATTGTTATGCACTCATTTTTTACCCAATTGCGGAAGAAGAAAGGCTATTGTTGTTGTTTTTAATTTTAATAGTAACTTAAATGTTATGAACACACAATTATGAATATTACACATTATGAATATCTATGATTTAATCCATACTAAAATTTTATTGTTTGCAGGCATTTCAATAGTTTTCAACAGTTTTAATCCATATTTAGATGCAGTTGGAATAAGTTCTCTTGCGATGTCTCTTAAGCCCCATGATGAATTTTGAGATCTTAAACTGTTATTGAAATCAATATTACTTTGAGGAGTGATTATCCCATCATTAGCATAAGGTCCATAAGTGAATAATAAACCTTTTGATTTCAACACTTTACCAACACCTCTAAATAAACCTATAATAAAATAAAATAATTTGTAATATTAAGTAACGAAATAATTTATCATTTATCTATATTCTACAGTACACAGATATTATAAGTATTAAAAACAACTAGAGTTGATTTTTTTTTCAAAAATAGTTCTATCTTATGTTTTAAGAATATGAATAATTAATAATACACGTAGACAATATTTTACACTAATAATTTGTATTAACTTTTAAATTGAGTATTAATTTTTTAAAAGTACAATAAATTTAAATATTTGGATAAAATCTAAGTAAAAAACCCCAAATGTTTAATCTGCTTTTATTTATTTGTTTTTATTAAAAATAAAAAACTATTCATTACACATAGATTTTTTTAAAAATTAATAACTAATAAGATACAAAAACCGTGCAAGGACTAAGCAATGGACAACAAATTATTGAAATGAACGTTTGTAATATACACATATTATCTTATGATCGTCTGTACCTTACAAACCTTACACACCTTCAGTGCATTTCCATTCTGAAATATGCATCATGTTTACATTGAGAATATAATCACAAGGATTATCTATAAGTTCACCATTAAGCCATTCCTCTGGTGGCAAAGACGCATCTAAGTATGCTGCCGGTAAAACATTTTTTAGTTGCTTATTGCTTATGAATGCATTAATGCTTGTCAATAACGGTTCATGAATTTCAGTCGGTTGGATGATCATATTTTCAAAGGTTGAAGCAATACTTGCCATATGTTGACCAGTACCTGAAGCTACTTCCAACATTTTACCGCTACACAATACATTCACTAAACTTTGTATAACATCTATAATTGGTGCACAGTTACGTTCAGCTGATGCATAACGTATCATCTGTTCAACAAGATAAATAAAAATGTGTATTATAAATTGATTAACGTTAATAATTCGGATAATATCAAATCAACAGACCATTGGGTCTTTTAGAATAAAAAATAAAATAAATGATTAACAAATAATGGCAAACACTAGAATACCGTTTAAACTGAATTATATTATAATATTAAATACTCAATACTTAATAACAAGACGAAAACCAAAGTAAATAGAAAAAAAATAATAAGTAAAAAGATAAAAGTAAATACCAAGCTTATTCAATGTTTTAATATTAAATAAAGCTTTTTACAATTTCATAATTTTAATATTTCATACAAACATCCCAAGTAGTCATAACTGTTATATTATCGTAAATGTAATTAAATTTAAGAAAAGTTGTTACTTTTTAAATGGAATCATGACGATTTAACTTAAAACTAAAGTAGTATTTTGAATACAATTCATATTACAATTTTGGTCTTTTGGGAACCCCAGTCAATAAATTAACACTCTTTTCTCTTTTCATCGAAGGAGTTTTGCCTGAACCTGGAACATTGCTGTCTTGTAACCATCTGACTTGTGTGGCTGGACCATATCCTTTTTCATTTTTAGCAGCAATACGAAAAATTATAGCAGGTTTATTGGTTCTGTCAATTAACGCTGCTCCGAGCGACTCATGACTAACTACTGCTGCATTGTGTGGCCCACAATAAACTCTTACAAAATTTAAACTCGGAGGAGCTTGTTTAGGACTCTGTGGTGGTAGTTCTTTAAGATTTTTAATCGCTAAACAAACTGAATACTCCAATATTTTTCCAGAACTTGATGGAGGTGCCTCCCATGTCAAACTTGCTCCGTCCGGTGCTTTGGTAATTTTAATAGCAGATGGCGCTCCTGGATATCCAGGTAAACAAGTCTTAAAGGCCGATATTTCACTCCATTCTCCTCGGCCACAAGTGTTAATTGCAGCAATACGCAGCTTGTACGCCGTACCAGGTTGAATGTCAATTTTCAATTTACTTGTATAATCTGGTAAATGGTCTAAACTAGTATTTTCATGCTCATCAGTAGTACCTGTCGAATAAAATTGTTTTACTAAACAAGTGGTGCCTTTGATTACACCAACGTCACACCACGCTGGACCATCTTGCTTGACAGGGAGAACAGCCATTGTGGGTTTAGATGTAACAGTATCGTTAGGTCCATTTGTAGGAGCCTGAGTAAGTGCAGCAGTTGCCAACGTTGATAATGCATCAGCTATATCATTATCAGATTTCTTTACTTCTTTTGGTTCGGCCTTAATAGCTTCGCTCAAGGAATGCTCCAAGTTTTCAATATTCTTTTGATCTTCTCTTTTAGAATCTTCTGTTTTGATTGCTGCTAATGATCCATTATTTTGTGATGGTTCATCAGTCAAAAACTCTGACAACTCTCTCATAACCAAGTCTTTTAGTTCTGAATCTTTCATGCTTAAAACAGATTGCTGATCAATATCATCTCCACCACTCTCAAGTTTTACACTATCATTTACTATATCTGGAACGACAATTGGTACAGTTTGTGGTTGGCCTGCATCAATTATACCCTCGTGTAATGGTTCAATATCCTCGTGAGGCGTTCCAATTAAATTAGTTTGAACAGATGCCAAATCCGTCAGGCTTTCTTGGATTGGTGTAGAGTCCATTAATATAGCTTGGGGCTCATCAACTGCCATTGGTGTTTCGTCAGTTTCCATTGGTTCTACAACCTTTTCAGATGCTTCAGGTATTGCTTCTTCTGCTACTGTATCTATTTTTACATTCTCTTGGACTTTATCGAGTTGATCAATCAACATGGGTTCTATTTCATTGCTTTCCTGTTGAATAACTGGATCTACATCCTGTGCAGATTTTACATCTTCAGTCACTTGTTGAACCGAACACTCAGTTTCAGCTTCGGTTGTGACTGGTATTATAATTCCATCAATTGCATCTTTATCATCCATTATTGCTCAGTTGACTATAATATCTGTAATTCCAAAGAAATGAACATAGTTTAGTATTATCTATAAGGTTGATTTAAGACCAGCATTTACTACATTATAATATGTTTTAATAATTTAGTAAAACAGTGGAAAAAAAGCTAGTACAGTGGAGTCGGGGTATAGTAGGTATGGAGAGATCACAGGTCTGCAGGAATTGTTATAACTGAAACTAGAAGTGTAAAACTAGAAATCTGATTTAACTAAAAACTAAGCATGTACAATAAATCAATATTGCAATCAAATAATTTAGAGAAAATTATAAATAAAATAAAAATATACCATATACCATAAATATACAAAAATATAATGTAAAATTATTTTTATTTGTCTATAAATTTCTAATTTAATATATATAAAATAAATACAATATATGAATGTATTAAAATACATTAGATTTGTATTGATAATGTATCGCATTATTGATAGTATATCAAATCAAATAGACAAAAATTATTATTCGAAATAGATATTATTAGCACTTGTGTATGTTTTTTACACTCACAACTGAAAACATAACCTAATATATAGTATTATATAGTATAGTTATAAAAAAATTTAAGTAGAAACAAATAATTTAACTAATAATACAACACTTTACAGTTATCTTAAATTAAAGGACTATATCTAATTATAATTAAAGTTGGACTAGTGGTTATGTCTGTGATATTGAAACTTAGAGATTAAGGATTATATCCAGTAAATGATCGTTTAATAGTTGCCACAGTGGCTCTATTTAGAAATTAACCGAAAAGACTTTTAATGAATAAGGTAAAAGGTAATACTTTAAAATTAAACACACACAAAATAGTTAAGTCTTCAAAAACAATTGTAATGTACACAAAAAAGTATAACACACCGTGATTGTAGGACGTATGATACAAGACAATGTAAAGTACAATGATTTCCTCTCAAAAACGGTCGAGAGTCATCCCCGACATTCTTTTCGTTTGCCTTAAATAGTAAACACAATGGATATAATTTTGTTTAAGCTACATAAAAAGGATGTAAGGCACATGTACATATTGCTGGATTAGCATTTTTATTCTACAGCTAAATATTAAATAAACATTATGAAATTGTAATGCTTAATTTATTTTCCCTCGGCTTTATTCTACTACATACTACATATCTAAAAAGTAGCATAAAAAAGGTCAAATCATAGTTTCAATTACCTTGAATAACACAATTGTATGATAGTTTAAAATAAACTGAAGTAAAACAAAATTAAAATGTAAGTTTTAAGTTATATATTTTAATAAACAATCAAACAATTCTTTCCCGGAATTTTCAGCGAAAACCGAATCTGAATATTATACAATATACAGATTAAAATTCTTATTTTTTTTATGATAAATAAACATAAACAAACCATATCACTAATATAGCCAAGTTTATTCTTCCATGAAACCCAAGATTTACAATTTACAATCTGAAATCATAATATTACTAGTTTAATTTATTATTAAAGTATTAAACACACAATTTACAATTATTAAATGTGTTATTAAACTAGCATAGCGAACTAAATTTTAATATAAAATGCTAATGTCATTGAAGTCGATTGACTCTTAAATTCCATTTAAACATTAACCACGGTTTTGTTTCAGTTCAGTAGAAATTGATAAGTGATAACTAAAATCACAATATTATCGGTTACAGATACGCCAATTTCTTTCCAGTTTGAATTTTGAAATATGATAATTTATTGTTTAACATAGTTATAGTGCTTTTTACCGTTTTTAACAGCAATTTTTTAATAACTAATAAATTAGTGCAATACTCTACAAAATGTCAATAGAAAATACCGATACAAATATTATAAGAAAGGTAAAAGTTGTATTTGAGTACTTTGTATTTATACTTTTGTATTAAATAATTAATAATTTATGAATAAAATCGTCGTAGCATTAGTACAAGAACTTGATTTTTATTAACTTGGAAAATTTTATTTGTTTTACTATTCATTTACATCTTGCTTTCAGAAATTTGAAGATGAACTTGAATATATTGAAGCTAAGCTTAAATCAATTAGTGCAAAAGTTTTAACAACTGACTTTAAAGCTGACAATAATAATACTGAAAAACCTAAAGGTAAAGTTAAATTTATAATTCTACATTACAACAGTTTCTATACTTATTTAATCGTACATTGACATAGTAGAATGATCACTTACCTAAATAATAAAATATTATAATTTTATATAAAAAAAAACAACTTTTTATATAGTATATATTTTGCATGAAATTATATTATGATAAATATAATGTATTACAATAAATTATAGAACAGAAACATTTAACAATAAACAAGCATAGACAATATAATGAGAAATGTAATATTAAATATTAGGTGGACTAAACAATACTAAAATAGATGATTCAATCAACAACTAACCAAGAACATAAATTACATAGATATAAAAAAACAAGTGATGGTAAATAGCGTGTAAATCAATTGCTCTATTTAAACTTTAAGCCTAATAAATCATAATCGTACGAATCTATAATCGCCAAACAATATGACCCCTTGTCAGTTAAGATCCAACAAGAATAAATAGCATTAAATCTATATCTAAAAAAAAGAACTTTATCGCATTGAAATAGATCTAATATTTTGACAGCAATGATAAGGGTTACTTTATACTTAACTTCCTCAGACTCTTTTTAATTAGTCTTATGAGCCAATTTTCTGATGTAACAGAGTACATCACTATCCACACTACCCAAAACTCAATGTGTGGCCTATGAAAAATTTTAATTAAACTAAACCAATATTTCCTTAGTAATTAGCGTTTTAATGTTACATACAGCTTTCTTGTTTTTACCCATCTGTTGTTAAATTACAGGGGATATAAAATCGCTATTGTATACAAAAATAATGTTATATCCCAGATTAATGAGAACCGTAAAGGCAATTTTATTGAAAAATAATAATTTAAAGCCAAAACAATCATGTATGTTTATTAGTATAGTAAGAATGTTTCTTTAGTAGTAATTAATTATTTTATTAGACAATAAGAACATTTTTGGCAACGCTTTTAACTATTATAAAAAAACACAGAATGTGTTTTACTCGGTCTAAGATAGTTAAAGAGTAAAAAAAGTACATAGTATTAAATCAGATAATGATAATATTTTGGACAATATGGGATACTTTTTTCAAACTATTCATTACTCAGCTAAATATTTGATATTGAAAATAGGTGTTTTTTACTTTTTTAAAATGGTGATAAATTATTCTAGGAAATATTTTGTTAAAAGGATAATGTGTTATAATAATAATCAAATATATTATAAAATAAAATATTATGTTGTAAAGAAATTATTAAGAAACTGGGTTAAAATATTGTCTGTAGATGAACAACTATTTATTTAAAAAATTTGTAAAATTCAAATTTTTATAGTGTACAGATTAAGCTAAGGACATAAAAATCTAACATAAATTGGACACTTAATTTAAATGTATATTTAATATTTATACATAAACAAAACATTTCCAATTGCAAGACGAAATTAAGTTATGAAAATAAATATTAGGTACATTATAATACTGATGTAATAGTTGTATTTTATTTTTAAAATTATTATTAAAATTTAAAAAATATATATACCATTTGAGTAGAGAGGGGTTTCTAAGGTTTATGAAGGTACACCATATAAATGTATTGAATCAAGTACACTTTCATTAGACCCAATTTAAAAAAAAAATACCAAATTAAACAAAATATAAATAAATAAAAATATTTTCTATCATTGATTTTTTTAGCTATTTATTGCTATTTCATTCAGCTAGTTTATTTATTTGGCTATTTTTTTAGCTACTTTATGCACATAAAGGTAGTACTGAAATAATAAATATAAAAAATATTATATGATATAACACTATTAAAAAAAAAAGTAATATCAATAAATGAAAAATGCAAAAAGTGATTGCCGAAACCAGGGATCGAACCAGGGACCTTTAGATCTTCAGTCTAACGCTCTCCCAACTGAGCTATTTCGGCTATATGAGAGTGTGTCAATTTCTACGGTATGTAAGCTAAATGTATGTGTTCAATAAAATAACGTACAGATGGCGCTAGCGTTTACCTTTAGTGTTAATAAAACACGTGCTTTTCGGAATACCAATACATTTTGTATATTTAGGGTCTAATTAGTGTTGTAATAAACAATAATGAAACATGCAGGTATAACATGTATCTAATAGAAATCATATTGTTAAATTTCCCTTTACTTACAAAAAACATATCACCTTAAACGAAAATAATTATTATTTAAATTATAATGTTCATGTGACTCGGAACTATATTTTGAGTCCTATTTTATTTTTTTTTGTTCTTAAACTATACAGATTCGTATGAACTTGTGATAATATGATCAGGCGATTGCAATACTTTTTTTATTAAAACATTTGTTTTTTCTTTCAGAACTATTAAGTGACAACTTACAACCGACTGTAGCCGATGGAATCAAACAAATAACTGCAGAATCGTGTGATCCGATTAATTATGAATGCAGGTATGTCTTAATAATTAATAAAACAATTAGCATAACTACCAACTATCATGGTCGCCTATCAGGGTGTAAGGGAAAAGGAGACATGTTACCCCTGGGTGAATGCAAGTTTACATTAGAATAATGACTCATTAACCAAAAACGACTTTGATAGAAGTTTAATTTATTATAAATCCATTACACGATTCACTCCCCTTTATAAATTACAATACATTCACATAAACGTGATCTTCACAAATATGAATATGTAACCTATACTTGGTTTGTTGACTGTTATAAAAAATACCAAGTTCAATTGAATTTTAAATAAAACAATAATTATACTACTATAGTCTATAATTAAAGTATAATTAATCCTTTTAATGTATGAGCTTTTTGCCATTAAATTCTGTAAAACACTTAATTTCGATTATTTTTATTTTATTACGTCCATACCGGTAATACTTACACGATACTTTATTTTGTTTTTTATGTCAATAAACTAAAACCGGCGTTTTCTTATAAAACTACACAAGCACATGTCTTGGTTTCATTTTTTTTTTAACATCTATATAAATATATTATAATGATATGGTCCCTGCCGCTTTTTCGTTCAGCTGCCTTGTGTGATGCAAGATTAGGGCTCGTGCCAGGAAACTTGTGAAGGGAGACTAAAGGAACATAATAGTTCCTGTAAAAGATGGTTAGGGGACCCCAAAAAAAAAATCCTTTGTGTCGAAAGACTCTTTACAAACGCACTCCATAAAACAGCTTACGACATTATATGATAATGTTCTTTTTATATTATTTTTTGATGAAACAAAAATAAGAACCAGACTTTCAAGGTGAACGAGTCGTGTATTGTTCATTAATAGCCTAGCCCTAGTAGAATATTTGTAAATAAATAATATATGAAAAATTAAATCATTCGACTATTTTGCCAAACTGTAATTTGCTTTAAAACTAAAATTGTAGTTGTTTGTGTCTTGTATACTGCCTAGTGCCTACGGGTACCTAATTTAAATTTATGAAATATTTTATTTTTAATTTAAATCCAGTTTATTGAATTAACGATGGTTTTTAAATAAACCCAAACTCATTAAAAAAAATATCTACAACAGGTTAGGTTAGGTTAGTGTCACCTGTACAATTACAACTTACATAACGTATACATTATAATATCCCATGCAATTAATTAGTGTACTTACACGAGTTAAAAGCATTTAGAACGAAAATATAAAATGATTTATCATGTTTGAAGTTAATTTTATTATTATCTAACCTAACCTAAAAATCTACAACACTGGATCTTTAGAATATTACAACTCATTCCTTTTACACGAATAAAACGCAATTAGTGCATACTAAAGTATATATGAACAGCTGTTTTAGTGTTACTATACCTACTATTAACACCCTACGAAATATTAAAAAAATTGTGCTATTTACTTAGTTTGGTAATTGAATTCGTTTGCTTTTGTATAACATTGATTAAATAATTAAAATATTAATTTAAAAATTAATATTAATTGAATTAATTATAATATAAAACTCGACGACTTTCTATTTTATTTCGGTGTAAAGGTTTACATGTATTAGTTACTAAGGATTTTAAGCTATGGTTATTGGTTACCTATGTGTTATGTGTTATTCATTTAAAAGTGAAAACTAATATTTATGCTCATGACTGAAGACAATGTTTCCTCTTCGATAAATTGAATTTTTTTTTTTTTTTATAATATGCCTTCGAAGCATAACGAATCGCAAATTATTCTTCGAGCTTAAATACGATTACTGCCTTATGTACGCCATAATCGTCATTTATACACGCCATCTTAAGTATTAATAATATTTTCTTTGTCATAATAATAAATTTCGCAGCTGAAAAAGGCACGTGAACATCTGCCCCCCCCCCCCCATTGCCCTCCCCCAAGTAACACAATCCATGTCTCATGCGTCACCTCTGCCCGAGAAATGAGGAAAAGAGATGCAACACAATACGGATAAGCCCAAAACTCGTTCTTGTTGAATTTTCGACTACCGAGCGGATCATATTATATTGTACTTAGACAATCGACCAGGAAACAACAAAAAAATAATTCTCAACAGAAATTATGTTGTGCAGTTTTTTCAATCACGCCTCCAGAGATGTGAATTCGACGCTCTTACTCGCACCAACAGCTACACTTTTTTTTAATTTAGTAGTGGGGAACAATAATAATTATTATGGAGAACGGAGTTCGTTCACCGTGTTCGACAAGTCCAAGGACTTGTGGTAATAAATCATTCTGTGTTATGATAATGCTTAAAATACAGTACGTGGCTGTCTGCGACGTCTTCTTTCAAATAAGTTCTTTGGTGTGCACGAGTGCAGTGGCCTAAAAGTTTATGAAAAACATTTTGTAATTGCTTGCGTTTGGACAAATAAGAAATTAGGCAGCACTATGTTGTGCATACAAAGATAAAAACCAGGCAACCTTGGGGATTGACAGATCCTTATAATAGTATTTTGGCATTGGCACAGTGGTTTACTAAACTCGATTAACACGGATGTACTTCTCAATTACCCCCCTATATTGATTTATTTTCACATTTATATTTTATTTATAATGTTTCTAATTTTAAAAATATTATATAAAAACTATTTTTGATGATTAATTATCATTAATTATTCACTGCTAAAACTGTATGATAATTTTTTAGTAAACAAAAAAACAGATGCTGTTACTAACCACTGATTAGCTAATTTTTGCTAAATGCAAGGTCCAAAGTAATGTCACTACAAACTATGTTTTTTTAGATAATTTCCTCAAATTTTTCCTCGTTGGAACTATAATTTTCTATAAACAAAAATTGACCTTAATAACATAAAACAAATTATATGAACTTCAAAACCAAATCAGATTCTTAAATTTTAAGAATATAAATAGATATTATTTATATTTAATGTGAATCTTAAAAAATAATCTTGTAATGTATTAATGGATTAATAGTTTAATTAATGTACCAGTCAATAAAAAAAAACATTAAAAGTTACAAAAAGTTGATGCCTCCTGTGAGGTTTGAACTCACGACCCCTGGTTTACGAGACCAGTGCTCTACCACTGAGCTAAAGAGGCACGCTGCGAAACCTTGATAAAATGTATGCACTTAAGCACAGCCGCATATTGTAGCATACAAATCTGTATTGTTTTTTTTTTATTTTAGCTTTATTTACAACTGTACATCAATATATCTTATCGTAATATTTAATTTTTAAATTTGATTACAAAAAATATTAGCTTAACATACTACACTTTATTTCTTCTAAACTAATTTTGTTATTTTACTGTTTGACTCGTAACTTTAGGTATTATTTACCTTTTTATAACTTTTTTGAACTTCGTTAAAATTGGTTTTTTATTAGCTGATCAATCTTATATTATAAAATTATAATAGTGAATAATGACTTTATCGGTATCCGCAAAACAAAAACAAATACACGACGGTCGTCAGTCGACATTGGTAACATCAATAGTCATTTGTGGTTTATCTTTTTCTTTTAATTTATTTTAGAGTAATTAATGTTATCATTAACTAGTACTAGGAAATCAAAAAAAATCTATAAAAAATGCCTCCTGTGAGGTTTGAACTCACGACCCCTGGTTTACGAGACCAGTGCTCTACCACTGAGCTAAAGAGGCACTACATGGTGAATGAAGAAAAAATCGTCAAGTAAATGATCATTCAATTACCATTACAAAATGTTGGTAACTTTGTTTTTTGTAACTTGCTAGTTTTGTGTAGGCAAGGTTACGTTTTTTGTCTGATTGCGAAAAAAAAAAATTAATAAAGATAATTTTTTTTACTAATTCTGCTTGTAAGTACGCTCAGGCAAATAAACAATAATTTAGTCTCGTTGAGTACATAATAGCGCTTATTAAAATCAACTATCCTATAGACTGTTTTTTTTTATGATATTTCCATTTGTTTAGGTAGTTTAATTTCTGTTATTTTAATAAACACGTAATTTTTTCGTAATTAAACGCATTCTTTGAAAGCGTAAGCAATTTTCTATTGTTGCTGCGCTGTAGATATTTAATAAAATAAAATACCTATGGATGTATCGTGTATGCAAAAAAAAGATATCGGTATCACGTCTTGGGAATAAAAACCCCTTAGTCACGCCTATTTTATGTTAGTACCTACACAAAAGAAGTCCACAGCAATAAGTATTGAGTAGGCTGTGCGTGTTTAAAATCATAGATTGCGCATTTCATTGATGATGATATTGCAATATTTTTTTTTTTTAGATACCTAACTGAAAATGGAAAACCGTTGTTGCTTTTACGACCGGTGGACATACATAAACGCGGTCGTCAGCTTAAAAAATACTCTGAAGAGAGTAAAAAAAAAATTGCTTTGAAAGAAAAACAGTTGTTTATTTTATGTGTGAGTGCCTACACTATTATACTGTATTTTGTGGTGTATATCGTTGGCTTGTTTCGTTTTGACTTGCTAAACGTGTCTGTCGCAAAAGGTTGGTGGAAAAAGGGAAGAGTTTGGAGGGGAGGGGGTGGTCATTCGATTAGTAATGTAAAGCGTTTGACGAACATCTGACTTACATAACACGGTCTGGTCAAAATTTCGATTTTGCATTCGGTGCACTTCAACCAACATAATATTATGCATATCTGGTTTTGACTTCTGGCACAGTCCGAGGCTAAGTATTATGTTTCTCTCTCTCTCTCTCTCTCTCTCTCGAGATCTCTGTAGTCTGTACTGTAAATGTAGGTATACAATTATATAACGTGCCAGCGTGAAGACAAACGGCAATGTGTAAAGTGTGATCAGCACATTTTTTTTACTGTACAAATCGAGACACGTCGCGGAATGCAGTTATAACTGTGCAACAGTATTATATTATGTATGCTTTTTTTTTCGCGAGCCGTTTTTCTATCTTCATTTTTTATTTTATTATTTTTTTTTCACCGAGTCATCGTCTGAACCGAGTATCTCTCTCTGGCCATCCGTTATGTGCTATT